CCAAACCCCCAAACCCCCAACCCCTAAACCCCAAGCCCTAAGCCACCAAGCCCAAGCCCTGAAACCCTCCATAGCCTGCGCTCGCGGGGTCGCGGAAGCAGCGGCAAATCTCAGCCGCCTGGGACCCTGCAAGGAGAAGCCCGCGGCCTGGGTCTATTTAGGGCTTCGGGTTTGAGGTGTTCCATGGAGTTTTAGAGTCTAGGGGCTTTGAGGTTTTGTAGGTTGCAGTGTGTAGGGTTTTGGATTTCAAGTTCATGGCAAAAGGCTTGGAGGATTCAGCTGCAGGATTTAGACTGTAGGGCTGTAGGGCAAGGTGCAAGGTTTAGGATTCAGAGATCAAGGGTTAGGGATTCCGCCACGAGCACAGCCGTGCTTGATTCCAGGGTATTTGGTCAGGGTTGCCACAACAAGATCCGACGATCTAACGGACAAGGAATTTCGGAAGTTCGCGCACGGGGCCATACATGTCGATAAGTTTCTGTCTGAGTCTTGGAGATCCTTAATCCGCAATACACCTCGAAATAGATGATCCTAGAGTCCTAGAACATAGTATGTTACAACATAGTAACATAGTATATAACATGATATACAAGATCAACCCTGAACCCTAAACATCATGGACCTGCTGGATCGAGGCAAAGCCTGGGTGGCAAACGGAAAGAAGGCACCACGTCCACCAAAAGAGGACTCCTCTTGCGACCCGATGTGGAGACATCCATCGCCGGACAGCCATGTAACGAGATCAACTTGTCAATGAGCTGCGTCACTAGTTATTCGCCGGATGCTGAACCCTTTGCCCCAAATCCTAAACCTCGTTCAAAACCCTTAACCCTAAACCGCCAGGCTGGCTGCGTTGGTTGTCAACTGATGCGTCTGCTGCATGGATCGAGCCAGACTTCGATCATGGGAAAATCCTAGCTTCCTCCAGTGCCTAAAGCATTGCACAGCATGCGTAGCTCTCCCTAAACCCCAAACTTAAACCCTAAACCTTAAACCCTAAACCTTAAACCCTAAACCTTAAACCCTAAACCCTAAACCCTACATGAGCAGTTCTCCAAAATGGGGTCCCTTTTGAGGAACCCAGAACAAGGCGGCAGACTGATAAATTCTTTGACGAGGACCCTCCTAAAAGGGATCATAATGTAGAAAAACTATCCATGTAGAACCCTTGCGTTTCCCTTCTAGTACCCCTTATAGAAGCCCTTAGAGATCCCTTTAAGAAACCCTATTAGATAGCACCCTTATAGAAGCCCCTATAGATGCCTTTAAGAAACCCTATTGTATATAGTAATTACCCTTATAGAAGCCCTTAGAGATCCCTTTTAAGGAACCCTAATATAGTACCCCTTATAGAAGCCTTTAGAGATCCCTTAAAGGAACCCTAATATAGTACCCCTTATAGAAGCCTTTAGAGATCCCTTAAAGGAACCCTATTATAGTACTCTTATAGAAGCCTTTAGAGATCCCTTAAAGGAACCCTATTATAGTACCCTTATAGAAGCCCTTAGAGATCCCTTTTAAGGAACCCCTTAAAGAAGCCCTTAGAGATCCCTTTAATTTAAGGAACCCAACAAACCCTATTATAGTACCCTTATAGAAGCCCTTAGACATCCCCTTTAAGGAACCCTGTTATAGTACAGCCCTTGTAGATCGCCTTTAAGAAACCCTGGAGCTCCCGTGGAACCATCTCTCAACCGCCTTCGGAACGTGCGGGCCGAATCCGATAGCGCATCCGGGCCTTAGGGCTCGGTTTAGAGTTTAGGGTTTTGGGTTTAGGACTTAGGGTTTAGAGTTTAGGGTTTTGGGTTTAGGATTTAGGGTTTAGAGTTTAGGGTTTTGGGTTTAGGATTTAGGGTTGAGAGTTTAGG